AAACGGAGCTGAGTTAAGTGACACCCATTTCGTCTGATTTGAGGAAGGTGGGGGGGGCTGGTTGACCTTTGATGACCTCTAAAAACATCTCTTTATATCTTTTAAATGATAGCGGCACAAACTAAAATTTTTGCTGCACAAACGTTTGACACTAATTTTGTCTGATTTGAGGAAGGTGGGGGGGGCTGGTTGACCTTTGATGACCTCTAAAAACATCTCTTTATATCTTTTAAATGATAGCGGCACAAACTAAAATTTTTGCTGCACAAACGTTTGACACTAATTTTGTCTAATTCAAAGAAGGTGGGGGGGCTGGTTGACCTTTTGACCTTTACAATTTCATTAATATCATCAAAGCCAAAGCAGCAGAAATGACAATTTTTGCTGCACAAACGTAGCACAACCGTTTGACACTAATTTTGTCTGATTTGAGGAAGGTGGGGGGGGCTGGTTGACCTTTGATGACCTTTAGAAATATTTCTTTATATCTTTAAAATGATAGCGGCAAAAACGAAAATTTTTGCTGCACAAATGTAGCACAAACGTTTGACACTAATTTTGTCTGATATGAAGAAGGTGGGGGGGGCAGGCAACTTCACTCAGGTGTCCGACCTGGATCAGGAATCAGAAAGGTGAAATAACTAATTTTTTTCTTCACTTTTACCCGATGTATTCCAACATCCAGCTGGCATGCGGGTGGGCATTGTCAGTTTCACTATAGCTCTGGTGAATTTCAATGGTGAAGTCCTCTGGAAATCTTGCACTAGGCTTACCGCACCGTGATGTCACTGCTGGAAGATGTCAGGAGGGAGGGGCTACTATATTTGGGCAAAAATGGCCGCTCTCAGACTCTGTGATCGCAATAAAAATTTTCATTTTCTTTACTGTTTAACGCTAAAATAATTAAATCACCACAAACGTATTAAGTTTTAGGTATAAATAATGATCTATTGATTTTTCCTCGCTGACCAGACTTTTCCTTTAAAGCCAACATCTCTATTAAAAAACCTGCAGGATCCTTTTCTCCTTTATGTTTTTGGAAAAAAATGTTCAAAGGACACTGCAAATTAGCTAGACTGGTGCATCTCTATAACTTTAGTCTGTTAGTAAATCAGTATTACGCATCAATGATGTGAACAATTTAACTGACTCCAGATTTTTACATATTTTTTAGATTTTATTGAAAAAACATGATGTACACATTAAAAGCAACATACCATTATATAATAGCTTCCATTTACTTGTAAAATACTTAAAACACGTAATCCGATTTTAAGGATTTCACGGAGAAGTAAAAAAAAAATCCCTGCAAAAACAGTACTATAATAAACGTTTTGTGTTTCTTTTAGAGCATAACAACTGTAAACAAGTAACCAAATAAATAAAACCATTTGCAATTTCAACAGAAAAGGAAACTTTTTCTTACAGTAAAAAAGCTTCCAACTGGTGGCTAAAGTTGGACCTGGTGCGCTCTTCCGAGCAGAGTGTTTAAATCCTGACGCGATGCAGCTCCTGCAGACACCTCTGTATATAAAAACTGTCTTTTAAAGCCGGGGGGAGTCTAACCGTCAGTGGCTAGGATGAGTACAGCCCCGAAAATACCAACGTTGTGGCCTATCAGCTTCATCTGGTTCCAGAACTCCACCTTACGGTTGTGGTGCCAATATCCGAGGTTTCCGTCTATGAGGAGGATCACCAGAGGAAGGACGGTGGCTAGGATTTGAGCCGCCATGCGGATGTAGTATCCGGTGAGAAAGGCGAGAGCCAGAACGCCAAACAGCACTTCTATCAGCATCAGAGTGAGCTCTCCTCCAGCGATGTGGTTCAGGTAGGCCTGCCTGTCCTCCTTGCTGTGCCGCAGCGAGTACACCTAGTGGAGAAAGTGTGTAGGTGCAGGTATGAGACAAGAACCAGGGTCTACAAAAGGAATGAATATTCAAATTTGTATTTTTCTTCCAGCGGACACAGTGGTTGGTTGGATGTGAGAATCACTTACCATGCAGATGAGATATATGCCCAGAAAGATCTGTCCAGTGGACTGCAGGGATCTGCTGCGAGCCTTCTGCCTGTAGATCTCCCCTGCTCCACTGGCAAGAACCAGAAAGCCCCCGATGATAGCTAACGCTCTGGAGTACATCCGGACCTGCAGGACAATACGGATCAGCGTTTTCATAAACCGTTCCATCCCTAATATATATATATATATATATAAAACCTTCAAAAAAAGATCGGACTAATAGAGCAAATAAAGAGCCCTATTACTGAAACATGGATGTCTGAGCTAACAAATCAGAAAGAAGAACATGACTGATCTGTGATCACGAGCAGAAAGATAAAAAGAGCACAAAGATTTGAAACCAAAGAGCTTCACTCACCTTTAACCATTCCCCATAATAGACCTGCTCTCCCACATAGGAAGCATAAGTACTGATGGCCAGCTGGATGGCAGCACCCAGAGCGAACCACCTCCTCTTCACTCCAAAAGACATGAAGCTAGCGCAGAGGACAGCTGCTCCCATGTCCACGTACAGGTATGGTACATGGATGTCTGGTTTTCTGGAGAGGAAAGAGGATTTTAAAAAGACCCTTTAGTTTTGGAACTTTAAAACTCCTGCATTATTGTGTAATGTGCATTACATGTTCCTTTTTAAACCAGTGTTGGTTCTGCTAACTGGCTTTGATCAATACAGATTATGATGAGGAGGGTAAGAGTTGTTTTTCTAAGTATAACACTTATATGGAGTCTTATCCTTAATTAAGTCAAATTGACAGATTAAAAATTATTCTAATTGTAATTTTTTTATTTAATCATTAGAATGTCTTTAATAATAATCTGCCAAACACATTTCAGACACGTTTCAAACACATGAATTAGGGCTGCAACAAACGATTATTTTGCAAATCAATAATTGTTTGATTTTTTTTCTTCCCATTAATCGATTTGTAATCAGATAGACAAATGTTCCTTAAAGAAGAGTTTTTACTAAATTAAACCAGATGAAACTAAAACTTTTCCACTTGAGGAGTTTTGATGGAGCAGATTAACAGACAAGCAGGAAAGTTTTTTTTATTATTATTATCTTAAATGCAAAATATGCACATATTTTTTTGTTGCCATTTTGTTATAATTGCTGCTCAAGTTGGATCACTCTGTCTGCTAAAGCAATATTTTAGTCTCACACTACAGTTAACAACTAATTGATTAGTAAATTAGCTGACGATTATTTCAATAATTGATTAATCTGATTAATTGTTTCAACTCTAGAATAAATTCAAATAAACTCACAAATGCATTAACTTCTGTTTGATCTACTTAAAATAAAAAGCTTAAAATATATTTTCCTGTATTATACTTCTTTTCAATCTAACTTCTTAAGTTGTAAATATGAAAAATAATAATCAATAGACAATAATTGACCTAATTTCTTAACTGAATATATAAACTCAAATGGTTTTGAACCAAGTGGCATCTTAGTTAAAATAAGGAGAGGTTTTAAAATAGCTTCCTTTTCCCCTACAGGGTATATAATTACAGGATAAGTTAGAGGGCTGTGGATGAGTGGGTTCCAGAAACACACCCACTAAAATAAATAACATCTCAACTCACTCCAGATTTAATAATTCAATTTAATTCAGTTTATTTCTATAGCGCCAATTCACAACGAGTCATCTAAAGGCCCTTTACAGTTCACTAGATCATCCAGTCAGATTGATTCAAAGTTTTCTATCTAAGGAAAACCAGCTGATTGCATCGACTCATTGACTCTAAAGCAATCTCTCACACTAAGCATGCTTGTAGTGACAGTGGAGAGGAAAAACTCCCTTTTAACAGGAAGAAACCTCCAGCAGAACCAGGCTCAGTGTGAGCGGCCATCTGCTGAGGCCCAGTGGGGTTCAAGGAGACAGAAGCAGAGTAATAATAGCCCCAATTTCAAGGAACTTTTGAAGTAAACTTTTAAGTAATAAATAAACATCAGGAAAGATGCAAAAAGTGAAGAACTGACTGTTGATCCAGCCCTTCTTCTAACTATAGTCAGCGTCTGCTAAACAGCCAGGAAAAGTTTTTTTTTTTATTTTAACTTAAAAGTCATCAATAACATTTAAAATATACTGATAAACAAATAAATATGCCAGGGGGTTTAATAATATAATCATAATAAACACAAGTACAGTCAGGAGGAAAGACAAACAAACTTACAAACATGTGTGTTTAAAATATTTTTTAAGTTCAATTAAATAAACATTTAAGTCTGGCTTTATTTTTTATTTTTATAAATTTAAATTTATGCCAAACAGGCAGGAAAAGTTGGACCTTTGATAGACTGAAACCACCGCTAGCTCTGTAGGCTAAGGTTAGCTAGCAGCTCTACGTCAAACTACGCGCTATTTTCACCTCTTTGAGTCCGCCCTTTCAGCAAACAGCATCAGCATGCTGAAACAGTTCCAGAACCCGAACCGCGTCAGAATAAACGATCCAAGCTGACAAAGAAACTTCAACATCTGCTTCCTACTTGGACCTGCCATCGCTACAGCTCATGTATCCCATCCGACAGTCAACGTATCACATACTTCAACTTCCGAGCGACGTACACCTTTACCTATCAAAATAAAAGAATACCACTGTTCCACATTGCTGCGAAAATAGGCAGCCGCATGGAAAGCTTTTAATTTGAAAGGAATTGAAGTTCCCAGGTAGAAGCTCTCTTCTGATTGGCTACCGAAGCCAAATCGTTAATTCTGGTGTTTACTCCATCTAGTGGACAAATCTAATCATTACATTTTCACAGCAGGTCCCTAAATTTTAAGAATAAAAACTTAACATTTTATAAGTTTAGCGAGTTAAAACGTAATTAAATGTATAATTTTATTAGTTTATCAAATGTATCTAAGCTTCTAATAGATGTGTTTATTGAATAATAATAATTAAATCTGTTTTTTAATAAAGTACTATACATAATCACTTAAAACTTATAGGAACATGTATTAATATGATTAATATATAACATCCATAATAAAAACATAATCTATATATAAAAATGTATGTATAGCTTTAGTACAAATTTACAAAAATAAATTAGGCATGTTTTTAATCATATATAAAATAAATGAATGGAATAAATTAACAGATTAATCAAAATGAAAAATATAAGTAATTGAAAAATAAATTCAGCATATGTCTGATCTAAAACTACTGCAAATTAGTTTTATTTTTATTGCAGGGAGAAAAAATGCACAACTCTAAATGACCAAATGCAATACATAAATTATAGGAAAATTACTGATATCTAAAATTCCCGCAAACTGCTTTTTTTTTAGTAATCCAAAATGAAGAAAAGGCAGCTCACCAGGTGCTTGGTGACTCTGCCCATATTTATAAGGAGCCTCTCCATGCTGTTAATCCATGTGACGTGCGTGGGGTTAATCCTGAGTACTAACCCAGATTCTCAAAATGGCTTAGTGTGAGTTCTCCTGAAGGCTGAGCTGCTGATGATCTACTTGTAATGTATCCCCCATCAAATGTCATAATGAGACAATGAGACGGGAGAGCTGTGATACAAAAAAATAACAAAATTAGACATTTTTTTAAAGATGTGTCCAAAATAGACTAATCTAAATGAGAAAACATTAAATTTAATTAAATTTAATAAACATTTAAATAGAACTTTACTTCATTCACAACTTTACCGATACAATTTACATATTTTTTCTCCACTTGGTAAAAACACAGTTTAAACCAAATAACAGATCCAGCCTTTTATGTATATTTCTACCATGTTTGGACATTTAAAGACCTAAACTTTGCTCAGTCGACCTTGCAGAATAGCCCAATCTCATTCAGACTGTACAGTCTGCCTTTAACATTTAATTTTTTTTTTCTTTTTGAAGGAGTTTGCACAGATTCTTTATTAAATATACATCTGGACTTTGACTAGGCCAATACAACATATGAGCATGCTTAACTTAGACTTAGACAGATTTATTTAGTCATTTAGTATACACAAGTGTAAACAAAAAGAATTTCTTTTAGAACAGCTCTCTAGACAATTTTATTTTTTTAAAATGCAGCCTTAAAAACAGGAAAAAATACATAAAAAAAGTAATATAAACATATGACTGTATATTTACAGTTCTAACAGTTCAGGGTTTTTTTTTTATTAAAAAAAATATAATAAATATTAAGGAATACAATAAAATAACCAATTTTATATTCATCAGTCTAATGGCAGTGGGAAAGAAACTGTTATGGAATCAGTTGGACCTGCATTGGATGCTAATAATTTAATTAAAAAAATTAATTTAATTTAATGTAAACCATTGTGTGTGTGTTTGTGGTCATAATCCTGCTGAAGGGCGAACCTCTGGATTATTTTACCAGTTGACCAGCTTGCCATATTAGATGTGCGGCCATGTCTAAGTAAGTGTCTTTAAGTGACTTTATAAGAAAATAACCTGCCATATTCTTCCTTCTAGTCTAAATAAATGACCTACTTTAGTTTCTGCCTCCAAATGGGACAAAATGTGTAAAGTTCAGGGAGTCTTAATAGAGTTCAGACATTCTCTTGAAACAAAAAACAATCCTGAACACATATGATGCCATAGATGCAGTTATTTAAGTTTCATTCTCTCCAGTTCTGCATGCAGACTGTGAGCCTGCTTTCTTGTTACAAGAGTTAAATTCCTTGATTGTTTAATCTCATCACCGGGGATTGGTGACATCAGGTCCGCCAATCCAGTGACGACCTCAAACGAAAGCCGGTGTGAGGGATGAGCTCTGGTTGAGGAGCAGTGGGACAGCACAGATCGGCCAGTGAGGAGAGGCAACAGGAACCCAGGAAGGCACCAATCCAGGAGCTCCTAGGAGCCAAAACATTTCTCTGAGTGTCGGAGATCCTGCCATTCAACAGGTAAACACCCAGGGAATGTTCATTAAGCTCCTTTTTTTGATCTAGAAACAGCTAGATTAAACATTACCTGGACGATTACGTAAGAACCTTGGAGAGAAGATCACAAAAGCAACATTTAGGGAGTCGCTTATGCTTAGGAGCTATTAAAACCAGTATTGTGTTTTCTTTCTGCAGCCAGGATGGCTCGGGATATGTCAGATAAGGAAATCCTAAAAATGGAGCTGGAACAGTTGAAGAAGGAAGTCAGCACACCTAGAACACCAGTAAGTATTTTACTTCAATTACTTTACTTATTTCACCCCAAAATTCTGCTATTTGATAACAAAAAAGAGAAAAATATATATTAAGTGGTTGAATTTTCTATTGTTTTGGGCAATATTTTCACAGTGTCTTTTATATTTCCTCCCCATCAGGTGAGTGCAAACTGTGCAGAAACAATTGCTTTTGTTGAAGGACAGATGCCAAATGATCCGCTGATTAAAGGCGTTCCAGACGACAAGAACCCTTACAAGGGAGACAAAGGAGGCTGCGTCGTAACATAGCACACAGGCATCTGAGGAGGAATTCACATTTCTGTCAGAGTTGGTTTCTTTGTAGTGATTTTTCTGATTTAAATGTATAAATGAATGAAACAGAGGACGGTTGCAGTGTTTTCTATCAGCTCTGTGGTAGTCAGCATGAAAATGGGTAACTTGTAAATAAATACAAATAGATGTAAATATCTTCCTCATGCTTTTTTATTGACATTCAGATCTTTTACTTGTTAGAGCGGTGAAAACATGTTTATTGGTTGCTGACCTGTGTCACTGTGTACGACAGGACAAAGCCGCTGAGTTGAACCTTAATAGGATTTGTTTGGTTCGGCACGGTTGGTCAAACCGCTTTGTTGACACAAAGTGGCTTCCTGTTTCAAAGTCGTTAAGCTGGTTCCACTCTTCATTAGCTTCCAATCTGGGTTCTCCATCCAATTAGTTTCAGTCAGAGTCAAATAAACGTAATTTCTGGTAAAGCTATGAGAAAATAATTCATTTGTGTGGCTTTAAAACACAAAACATAAGAAAAGGATGGTTGAACTCGATGAAAAGCGAATCAACATGTACATTTTAGTCATTTAAGTTTAGATAAACATCTAAAGTACATTTTAATGATAACATTCTCATCGAAAATGATAATAATAACTTGTTAAAACCTATTTTAATAGCAGTTTTTCATTGTTCTTTAAAATGGTAAAGAGGAACATTTGATCATTTTATCAGTTAAAATTAATCTGATAGCAGTTTATTTAAACTGGTATCCAGATGACCTCATAAATGACTTTTTGGAATGAATTTGATAAAAAAAAATACATAAAGTTTATTGTTTTAATGAACTTTAAAATATTCTATACATATAATAAAACAATATTCAACTAGACTGAATGTAAAAAAAAATATATTTTCAGCAACACAAAATGGAATATAGCTATATAAACCATAAACAGGCTTAAATTCGAAGGAAACCTTTTGCTCAGTGTTTTTGAAGACGTTCCAACACCCATCCAGGAATCTATGGAATGAGTTCCATGACTGATCCTGCCAAGCATTTACAATTCAGTCATGGAACTCATCCCAAAGAGCTAAAATAACCCCTCCCATTATGATTCAAAAGCCAATCACAGAGCCCACGCACAATAAAAGGCTCCAAAAACCCAGAAGATCAAGGGATGGCTGTTGGATTAGCAGCTGACTTGGAATGGGAGCAGGAGTTTTGACCTCAATGCTGCTAAAATACACCAGCGCTTCAACTGCAATTTTTCTCTGGGGGAGCCAACAGAATTGACAAAGACTCCTGGATGGGTGTTGAAATTTATTTAAAAAAAACTGAGCGAAAGTTTGCCTTCTAATTTAAGCGTGCTTGTTGTTGCAATGACCCGGATGACTGCGAATTTACACAGAGATAAGTATTTATGTTTTAGTTTCACCAAG